AAAAGCTTTATGGAGCTAGAGAAATGACTCACTGGTTAAGAGCACTTACTCCTCTTGCAGAGGACCCAGTTTCAGTTCCCACATTGGGCAGCAGCTCACAACCACCTATAACTCAAGCTCCATGTAATCTATACCCTTTTCTGGCTTCTGTGGGCACTGGCACACATACAGGTGCTCATAAACTCATGAAGGTATACACATACACATAAATCTTTAAAACTTTATTATTTGTAGTTGGGCATGGTGGTGCACACCTTTAATCTCAGCATTCAAGAGGCAGAGGCAGGTGGATTTCTTTTTTTGTTGTTGTTGTTTATTTTTATTTTATGTGTATGCATATATTGCCTGCATGTAGGTAAGTGCACCTGTGTCTTGAAATGCCTGCAGAGGACAGAAGAGGCTGTCGGATCCCCTGGAACTGGAGTTATGACAGTTGTTAGCTGCCATGTGGGTGCTGGGATTCGAACCTGGGTCTTCTGCAAGAACAGTCAGTGTTCTTAACCGCTGAACCATCTCTCCAGACCCGGCAGGTGGATTTCTGTGAGAGCAAGGCCAGCCTGGTCTAAATAACAAGTTCCAGGCCAGCTGGGGCTAAAAGGAGACTCTGTCTCAAAAAAAAAAAAAAATCATTTGTGTCTGTGTCTGTATGTACATACTTCCCATTGCAAATATGTGAAAGTCAAAGGACAATGTTGAGATTGTTCTCTCCTTCCATTTCTACATGGGTTCCAGGGACCAAACTCAGTTCACCAGACTTGCACAGCAAGTACATTTACCTGCTGAGCCATCTTGCCAGCCCTAAGTATGACCCTGCATAGACTGAAAGCATACCTGGATCTGGGGATGTAGCTCTGGTTACAGTGGCAACCTAACATGCAGGATACTCATAATTTTTGATCCCCAGCATGGCACAGACTGGGGTGTTGGCACACAGACCTGTAATCCCTAGCACTCCTGCAGGGGAAGAAACAGGGGGATCAGGAGTTCAAAGTCATCCTCCACCTCAGTCACTTCCTGGCTAACCTGGGCTATGTCAGACCCTGTCCAAGAAAACAGTAAGAACAAAAGAAGAAGCCGGGTGTGGTGGTGCACACCTGTAGTCCCAGCACTTGGGAGGCAGAGGCAGGCGGATCTCTGTGAGAGCAAGGCCAGCCTGGTCTACATAGTGAGTTCCAAGTCAGCTGAGGCTGCAGGGAGACCCTGTCTCAAAAAAAGCTTTGCCCTTCAAGTTTTCTTTTTGAGACAGGGTCTCCTTGTATCCCAGCTCTTCTGGAACTGACTATGTAGACCAGGCTGGCCTCAATCTCACAGAAATCCACCCTGCCTCTGCCTCCTGAGTGCTGAGATTAAAGGCTGCGAGCCACCATACCCTACTCTTCAAGTATTCTTTAAAAATAAAAGCATGGGGGACTGGAGAGATGGCTCAGCGTTTACCCCAGTTCCAGGGGATCTGACAGCCTCTTCTGTCCTCCACGGGCATTGCACAACACGGGCACACTTACCCACATGCAGGCAATACACTCATAAAAATAATAAAATATTTTTTAAATGTTTAAAAAAATTTTTTTTAAAAGTGTGGGAGCTGGAGAGATAGTTCAGGAGTTAAGAACACTGGCTGTTCTTGCAGAAGACCTGAGTTCAAATCCCAGGACCCACATGGCAGCTAACAACTGTCATAACTCCAGTTCCAGGGGATCCAACAGCCTCTTCTGTCCTCTGCAGGCATTGCATGACACGGGTGCACTTACATACAAGCATACATATAAAATAAAAATAATTTAAAAAATAAATGAAATCATGAAGAAAAAAATAAAAATAAAAGTATGGTAGAGACAGACAGATCTTTTTGAGTTCCAGGCCAGCCTGGTCTACATAGAAAGTTCCAGACCAGCTGGAGCTACTAAAAAATAAGACCACAAAAAAAAAAATCATGAATATCTAAATCCCACCTAGGAGAAGCCTATATGTGGAAATTGCACATATAAACTATCAATTCCTGAAGTGATCATCTCACCTTAAATAAGTCAGTTATTAGACTGAATAACAAAAGTCACTAGAACCTTGTGCAGTCATTCCCTGCTTTCTCAAGAGGTCTAATGTTAGATTTTAGGAATAATTAGGCTATCATCTTTATCAATAGAAGTACTGATTTATTTATGCCTATAGAATTCTAAAAAAGGATTAGAGATACTTTATAGAAATAGAGCACAAAGAAATTATAATTAAAAAGAAACAATGGCGGTGCTGGAGACATGGCTCAGTGGTTAAGAGCACTTGCTGCTCTTGCAGAGGACCCGGTTTGTATTCCAGTACCCACACCAGGTAGCTAACAATTGTTTGTAACTCCAGTTCCAAGGGATCCAATGCCTTCTGGCCTCCATGGGCACCTGCACACATGGTACACATAAACCCATGCAGGCACACATATACATAAATAAAGATAATATTTTTTAAAAAATGGGGGCTGGGTGTGGTGGCACACATCTTTAATCCTAGCATTTGGGAGGCAGAGGCAGGTGGATCCCTGTGAGTTTGAGACCAGCATATCACAGTGAAAGATTTATCGTCCTCTTTTTTTTTTTTTTTTTTTTTTAAAAAAAAAAAAAAAAAAAAAAAAAAAAAAAAAAAAAAAAAGGTGAGGCGCTATAGGAATGGGCATTAGTGAACACACAAATCACTCAGAATGGGTTTTATTTGGTATTGTGGGCAGGACGAAAGCTTCCTCTTTAGGCTCAATAAATAAGAGGACATTGTGTGGCATAAACAATGGTGTCAACAGCTTCCTAGCAACATTAATGTTCCTGGCAGTCATTACTTTCTAATGGTATGTACTTCTTTGGGCGTAGTTTCAGCTAAGGCCATTAAACCAATATAGTTCAGTAAACAGATTTTCCACAGCACAGTATCAAGCTTATAGCTGTTTCCTCATCAAGCTTCATCCTACAGTATATTTTAGTCTCTAATGATTTCTTTCATTCAAGTATTGGATAGTAGAGGATTTGACATTTTCAAGGAAAATAGATATTTTGCATTACTAACCAAAGGTCCATAGGTTCCTACTATAAATTTTTAAAAAATATTTTATTATTTTTATTTTATGTGTATGAGTGTATTGTATGTATGCATGTGAGTGCACCTGTGTCATGCAATGCCGTGGAGGTCAGAAGAGGGCTTTGGATTCCCCTGGAACTGGAGTTAAGGACCATCCATAGCCGCCATGTGGGTGCTGGGAATCAAACCCGGGTCCTCTCTGCAAGAGCAGTCAATGCTCTTAACCGCTAAACCATCTCTCCAGCCCCCCCCCACTATAAATTTAAGGGCTCTTTTAACTGATTACTTACTTCTCCAGTCATTTATTTATAGATATCTAGGGTTCTTGTTCCAAGGGTTCTTTCATCTCACCTGTGTCTTCTGTAATTGCCAAGCAAGTATAAACACCAAATGTACTTCAATGAAAGAGATTTTTAGGCCAGGCATGGTGGTGCACGCCTTTAATTCCAGCACTTGGTAGGCAGAGGCAGATGGATCTCTGTGAGTTCCAGGCTAGCCTGGTCTCCATAGCAAATCCAGGCCAGCTAGGGCTACAGGGAGACCCTGTCTCAAAAAAAAAAAGAGATTTTTGGGGGTGTCTTTTTACAACAGGGTTCCCCTGTAGCCCCAGCCCTCCTGTAACTTGCTATATAGACCAGGCTGGCCTCCAACTTACAAAGATCCTCCTGCCTCCCAAGTGCGTGGATTAAAGGCGTGTGCCACCACTCAACATGAAAGAGATTATTAACTCACCATTTGGAAGAGACTGTACTATAGGGATATTTCAGTGATACCAATAAAACCTTGCTTATCCACTTGTCAAATTTAATTAATCCCTACTAAGCACCAGGTATCATGGTGACTATTAAGTGTCATTGTGTTCCCTGTCACTGTCCATTAGTTGGGATTTTCAAATCTCTACCTGACCTTATTTCCCAGTGAAAAAACAGGTAAAGACTCAAATCTTTAAGACTTTAGAAATCTAAGTAATTGCCACAAAGATGTGAGGGTGGCAACTGAATAGGCAGTTAGAAGGAAATGAACCTAGATCTTATTGGAGGGTTTATCTTCTGTTTGTTAGAAATTGAACCCAAGGCCTCATACATATTAAGCACATGCTCCACTGCTAAACTATATTCCTAGCCCCAAATCTGGCTTTTGAAAGTTTTGAGAATATTGCATCTGTGTGTGTGTGTGTGTGTGTGTGTGTGTGTGTGTGGTGTATGAATGCACATGTGTGCATGTGGAAGGCAGAGGACAACTTAGGGGCTGCCCACTTTTTTGGAGACAAGGCCTCACTAGTCAGGAGCTTGCCATGTCAGCTAGACTGGCTGTCCAGTGAGTCCCAGGGATTTGCCTGTCTGCTTCCCAGCATTGAGATTAGAAGTGCACACCACCACATCTAGCTTGTTATGTGGGTTCTGTGGGTCAAAGTCAGGTCCTCATGCTTGCCAACTAAGCCATCTCCTTAGCCTTCTTTATTTTCATTTTAAAGAAAAAAAAATTTTTTTTACATTTGTCTGGGGAGGACATGAGCCACAGTGTGTGTGTGTGTGTGTGTGTGTGTGTGTGTGTGTGTGTGTGTATGTGTGTGTAGATCAGAGGACAACTTAGAGAAATAGGTTCTCACCTTCTATCATGTGGGTCTGCGGGTCCCAGGGATGGAATTTGGGTCATCAGTCTTGGTGATAAACACCCTTGAGCCATCTTGCTGTGCATCCCCATCCTCCCACCCCCTTTTTTTTTTGTCTTTTTGAGGCAGGGTCTCCCTATAGCCCCAGCTGTCCTGGAACTCACTGTGTAGACCAGGCTGGCCTTGAACTCACAGAGATCCGCTTGCCTCTGCCTCCCAAGTGCTAGGATTAAAGGCGTGTGCCACCATGCCGGGCTGCATCCCCCTTTTTTAAACTTTCCTTTTTCTTATCATGATGAGGAATTGAATGGACATTGTATATTTTTTCTTTATTCAGATTTTGAGATACAGAGTGAAAATGGGGAGAACTCAAATCAAGACATGTTTGAGGATGTGGAATCACATGAGATGTTCATGAAAATGCCTGGAGTGGAAGGTGGTCAGCAGTCTGATGCGGAAAGTGACTTTGAGAGAGACTGTGGCTCTGGGGCCACCCAGGGAAATGCTCCAGGTGAGGACCACAGCAACATGCTATCCCAGGGCAGGGAAGTTAGTCAACTCATAGGCCTTCAGGGCACCTACCTGGGAGAGAAGCCTTATGAATGCCCTCAATGTGGGAAAACTTTCAGCCGGAAATCCCACCTTATCACACATGAACGGACACATACTGGAGAGAAGTACTACAAATGTAATGAATGTGGAAAGAGCTTTAGTGATGGTTCAAACTTTAGTCGACACCAAACCACTCACACAGGAGAGAAACCTTATAAATGTAGAGATTGTGGGAAGAGCTTCAGCCGGAGTGCAAACCTTATCACCCACCAGAGGATCCACACAGGAGAAAAGCCTTTTCAGTGTGCTGAGTGTGGTAAGAGTTTCAGCAGGAGTCCCAACCTCATCGCTCATCAGCGCACCCACACAGGTGAAAAGCCGTACTCATGCCCTGAGTGTGGAAAGAGCTTTGGTAACAGGTCCAGCCTTAATACTCACCAGGGCATCCACACTGGAGAAAAACCCTATGAGTGTAAAGAATGTGGAGAAAGCTTCAGTTACAACTCCAACCTGATTAGACACCAGAGAATCCACACAGGAGAGAAACCATACAAATGCACTGATTGTGGACAGAGGTTTAGCCAGAGCTCAGCTCTCATAACCCACCGGCGAACACACACAGGAGAAAAACCCTATCAGTGCAGTGAGTGTGGCAAAAGCTTCAGCCGCAGCTCCAATCTGGCTACTCACCGGCGAACTCACATGGTGGAGAAGCCCTACAAGTGTGGGTTGTGTGGGAAAAGCTTCAGCCAGAGCTCCAGCCTGATTGCACACCAGGGCATGCACACAGGAGAGAAGCCATATGAGTGCCTTACATGTGGCGAGAGCTTCAGCTGGAGTTCCAATCTCATTAAGCACCAGAGGATCCACACTGGAGAGAAGCCCTATAAATGTAGCCAGTGTGGGAAGTGCTTCAGCCAGCGCTCACAGCTAGTGGTGCACCAACGGACCCACACGGGCGAGAAGCCCTATAAATGCCTCATGTGTGGCAAGAGTTTCAGCAGGGGCTCCATTCTGATGATGCATCAAAGAGCCCATTTGGGAGACAAGCCTTACAGGTGTCCTGAGTGTGGGAAAGGCTTTAGCTGGAATTCAGTTCTCATTATACATCAGCGAATTCACACAGGGGAGAAGCCCTACAAATGCCCTGAATGTGGCAAAGGCTTCAGCAATAGCTCCAACTTTATTACTCATCAGAGGACTCACATGAAAGAGAAACTTTACTGAAATGGCAGTAAAGTGAAGGGAAAGTGTTGGAACTGACTGTGAGGGGGAACTGCCACAAAGCCCCAAACTATGATTCCTTTCAAAAAGCCATTTTCCCTAAATACTCTTGGGGAGTTTTTACCAGAACCTTATCCTTGTTCATCCTCATTTCAAAGACACTATTATCTTGGTTGGAGTGACGCTCCATGCAGTTCAAGAACAAAGTGTAGGAGGGGACAGTCTGGAAGTAGGGTCTTTTCTATTGCATTTCATGATTTGATTGCCCCAGCTCCCAATTCTTCAGTGCTTCGGTTCTCTTAAAAGGAACAATGTTTCTCCATATGTTATAACAGCTTGGCTGCAACCTGAGCCAAGCCTGTAAAGAAATACTGGACCCCTGTTTTTGTGGTTCTGTGTTTTGCTGTCACTTTGTTCAGCAGGTGCCTTTACCCCGTGCTCCTAGTAATTCTAGGGTCCCCTGCTCGTGTTGGTCTCCACTCTTCCTGGGGGTTTGGTGTTTGGGGGTTTGGTTCCAGGTCAAGGTGATAGGTTTTCTCCAATGCTTAATCATCCAAATGAAGGCAAATCCCCTTTCTAGTTCCAAAAAGTGTCAGTACACAGGTTGAGGAAGGATAGGCTGCAACCTATGTCCCAGTTTTCTCCCATTGACAAGTAGAGTGCCTGCTAAGAAAGGCATACACTGTGATTTGTGTGCTTGCTTTTTTGTACAGTCCTGTGGTTACGTTGACTGCTTATGGAGCACAACTGTTCTCATGTGATTTGTGTTGAGGCATGAAGCTTCTGACTTCCAGGTGTCTGGTACATGGTAATTTCTGTCTCATCAAACAGGTGAACAGTCCTGTACACTGTGTGCCGTGTAAGCATTTCTCACTCTGTGCATTCCTTTTCTCCCTGTCATTTTACACACACACACACACACACACACACACACACACACACACACACACAGAGTTTTGAGACAGGGCCCCATATAGCTCAGGCTGGCCTCAAACTCACTATGTATCTGAAAATAACTGAATTGATCCTCCTGAGTGCTGGGATTACAGGCCTGTGCCACCATGGCTAGTTTTTGTAGTGCTGGGTATTGAACCCAGGGCCTCATGTATGCTAGGCAAGCTCACTGCCAACTGAGTTCCATTCTCAGCCCCTTATATTTTTCATTTTATTTGTATGTATGTGTGAATGTGTATTTTATATGTAACTCCTGGCGACCAGTGGTCAACTTTAACTTAGGGTTTCATTCCTGAGATGTTGTCCATCTTGTTTTTTTGTTATTTTGTTTTAAATATTTTATTATTTTTATTTTATGTGTATGCATGTATGCTGCATGTAGGTAAGTGCACCTGTGTCGTGCAATGCCTGAGGAGGAAAGAAGAGTCTGTTGGATCCCCCTGGAACTGGAGTTAACTGCCATGTGGATGCTGGGATTCGAACCTGGGTCTTCTGCAAGAACCAGTGTTCTAAACCGCTGAGCCATCTCTCAGCCCCTTGTTTTCTAAGGCAGTCTGTAGTTCAAATCTTTTTTCCCAACTCTGTTTGGACAAAAAAAGAAACTTCAAAGACTTTATATATTACTTTATTTATTTCTGTTTGATACAGGGTCTTGCTATATAGCTCTGTCTGGCCTGGAGCACTCTATATAGACCAGTTAGGCCTCTGCTGTTCAGTGATCCTCCTGCCTCTGCTTCCCAAGTACTGGGATTACAGTTATGTGTCACCACGCCCAACTACTCTTACCCTTTTATCCAGTGTATCTGTCTAACTAGAACCTAAGACAGTTCTCTGTTATAAATATCTTACTGAAATATAGCAGATAAGTACATAAAAGTGTATAGCTCATTTTAGTGTTATAACTGCACACTTATGCAACCAGCAGCGCCCAAAAATGCCCCTTTGCATCTACCTTCCTGCACCTGCCCTGAAGTTTGTGGTGGGGAGCTCACCAAATGTGGTCCTGGACAAGTCTGTGTCTAGTATAATGAAAATGTATAAAGCAGTTACTGTGTATGAGTGGCTGTGCTAAGCTCTTTTTGTGTTATCTCACTCAGTACTGACAGCTCTGTGAGGCTGTAAGTAGCCTCACTCTGTAGGTGAGAAAGTGGAGACCTGAAACTTGCTAGCACCTGTTAATCACTCTACTCCTGAGGTCACCTAACTGCACTATATTATTTTTATTTTCTTTTTAATATTTTATTGTATACACACATATATATGTATAATGTATATATGAGTGTTTTGCCTGCATGTTTGTAAGGGCCTGCAGAGGCCAGAAGAGGACATTGGATCCCCTGGAACTGGAGTTACAGATGGTTGTAAGCCATCATATGGGTTCGGTGAATGGAACCTTGTCCTCTGCAAGAGCAGCCAGTGCTCTTAACCCCTGAGCCATCTCTCCACTTCTCATTTTTGTTGTTTTGAGACAGGGTCTTGCTGTATAGCCCAGACTGGCCTTACGCTCACTCTGTAGCCCAGGCTGGCCTCAGATCCATAGCAATCTCCTGCCTCTGCTTCTTGGGTACTGGGATTACAGGCATGAACCAGGCATTCAAATGTTTTATTAAAGCCATAAGAAAACTGGGCATGGTGACTCACACCCATAATCTCAACACTTAAGAGATGGAGGCAGGAGGATCAGGAGTTCAATATCACCCTAGCTACATAACAAATTTGAGGTTAATCTATGCTACATGGCAAAAATATCTCAGGCAGGCAAGATGGACCAGACAGTAAGAGCACCAGTCACCAAGGCTGACAACCTGAGTTCAGTCTCCAAGGCCCATATGTTAATAAAGGAAACGGACTTCTGCAAGTTATCCTCTGATCTTCACATTCACACCATTGCACTTGTGTGGCCCTTCCCAAAATATATATAATAAAATTTTAAATTTCAAAAACAAGCTGGGCGTGGTGGCACATGCCTTTAATCCCAGCACTTGGGAGGCAGAGGCAGGTGGATCTCTGTGAGTTTAAGGCCAGCCTGGTCTACATAGTGAGTTCCAGGCCAGCCGGGGCTATGGGAGACCCTGTCTCAAAAAGAACCCCCCTAGGGGGCTGGAGAGAAAGCTCAGCAGTTAAGAACACTGACTGTTCTTACAGAAGACCTGGGTTTGAATCCCAGCACCCACATGGCAGCTGACAACTGTCCATGACTCCAGTTCCAGGGGATCCTGTTCTGTTCTCCACTGGCATTGCACGACATGGGGACATGGGTGCACTGACTTACATGCAGGCATAACACTCATACACATAAAAATAATAAGTAAATAAAAAATATTTTTAAAAAAAGATCCCCCCTCCCTCCCCTGCAAAAAAGAGTATTAAGCCTGGTGTGGTGGCGCACTTGGGAGGCAGAGGCAGGCAGATCTTTGTGAGTTCCAGGACACCCTGGTCTACATAGTGAATTCCAGGACAGCTGTCTCAAAAAAAAAAAGAAAATTAAGTAAAAATGATACATTAGTTTTTAGTCTTCTCCCTAGTCAGTAGCATGACTATCCATAATTGTAATTGGTTAGTCCATGCAAGTGACAGATGATCACCTTTCCTGGTCCTTTATCCCTGATTGGGGTGAGGGTCTCTACTTCATAACCAAGGTGTTCCAAAGGGACACAGCAGCCTTGCTCCTGGTATTTCTTAAGATGGCCATGGAGATTTTTCACATGAAGGATTCTGTTAAGATATTTCAGATCTTTGGGCAATATTTTAGTTTTTCCTTTTTAACTCTTGATAAAATAACTCAAAGCCATAGAGGAAGGATAAGTAAAATTTCATGAGTGATGGAGAGATGTTGACAGTGATTAACTTTTGGCTTTCCACACTCCTCCCCACCTTGCAGTCTGAGTACAGAGGCCTTTGGAAAATGCAGTATTAAGCTCATGCCTCTAGCATCTGAGCAAAGACTGTGGCTCCAGGGCCCACCTGTCATTGGATTCCTCTTTGCTGTTCACTCTTCTGTGTCGCAACTCAGGTTTATCATCTGCCAACAGGCCAGTGGTGGCCCTTGGAGAACTGCCACTGAGTGAAAGGTCTCAATCCAGTGGATAATTTTCCTGGGTCCTTCATAGCTTATTAATGATGTGAAACGTGTCAAAGCAGAGCTGCTCTGATGACAAGGACAAGAAAGCCTCTCCTGGGCTAGAACTTTATCCCACCTTGTTGGACCCTAAGGCAACTCTGTGGAACTTCTGGGCTGATCCAACTGGTCAGGGAATGGTCTGCAAGTTAGTACTGTGTGCTGTCCAAGTTTCCACATAAGCTGCCTCATAACTCCTGATCCTAAGATCAGAGAGAGAAATTTTCAAGACCCAGACTCATAACTAGTGCCTCTTGTCATCCTGTGCTGATCCTTCGATCTGTATCTCCACAGGCTGCTCTTCCTATGAGCAGACACAGCTTCGCCTACCTTGGCTTGAGTTTTGGAATTTTCATGTTAAAGGGAACATGTACTTAGCATGCACGAGGCACTGAGATTGATCCCCAACACACATACACACACACACACACACACACACACACACACACACAAATAACAAAAAGCAGCTATTGGGGACTGGAGAGATGGCTAGGTAGTTAAGAGCACTGGCTGCTTTTGCAGAGTACCAGAGTTCTGTTCCCAGCACCCACATGTTGGAAACTCCAGTTCCAAGGGGCTCTAATGCCCTCTTCTGGCCTCCAGGGGCACTGCATGCATATAGTACACTTCCACACAGGCAAAACATACACATAAAATAAAAAGGTTTTGTTTTTTTTTAATTTGGGGGCTGGAGAGATGGCTCAGCAGTTAAGAGCACTGACTGATCTTGCAGAAGACCCAGATTTGAATCCCAGCACCCACATGGAAGTTACCAACTGTCTGTAACTCCATTTCCAGGGGATCTGGTACCTCTGACCTCCACGGGCATTACAGGACACGGGTGCACTTACACAGTTGCAGGCAATACACTTATACACATAAAATAAAAATTGAAAAAGCTTTTTAAAAAACAAAAACTATTTTTGAGGAAAGGTCTCACTATGTAGCTCAGGCTTACCCATAATTCTCCATTCTCCTGACTCGTCCAGAGTGCTGGAATTATAGGTATGGTACCAAGCCTTGACAACTCAGTTATGTATTAAATGAAGTGGCTTCCTGGCCTCTCTCCTCCAAGTTCCACCTGTTCCTTCTGGGCTCTCCCAGCTCCTCTGTGGTACTTCCACACATGTACTTTGAACACACCTGCATCTAGCGTTAAGCACACTGCACAACTGGGGTTAATTGGGTTATTCACAGCAGCATTTTTGGAGGAAAATGTATTCTCCATTGGACTATTCGTTTAGATAGTTTCGCTTTTCTTTTGCCACGACAGCACAGTTCTGGTCCAGTGTTTGGCCCAAAGCAGATGCTCCACAATTGGTAGTTGAATAAATATGCGTCAAGGATACTCTTGAACCAACCAGGCTTATGAGTACAAGAAATAAGGTCGTGTGGAGAGGGGGGGGGACAAGGAGGAACATGGTAGGGATGAAGCCTCACCATGAAAGGCAAGGGGCTGTTAAGTGGTGGAAAATGTGAACCGACTCTCAGCTCCATACTAACAAACCTCGCGTCCAAACCGACTTATTCACCTGCACACTGGGAATGAACAGCTCTGCCCTCTTCAGAAATGAAAACGCATTGAAACAAGTGAGACGATGCTTGCCCCAACCCTCACCTCCTCCTCCTCCTCCTGGTTGTGATTTTCCACTCCAATCCCGCTAGTACGAAGGTCCCGCCCTTCACTGATGATTTCCCCGGAAGCAAATAGGTGGCTGAGGTGCCCTCACATTTCATTGATTTACGCTGCTGTCAATCTGGTTATGGAGGCCTTTGGGAAATGTAGTAACCACTTCTGGAGCCCACAGTTCCGCTTCCGGGGGTTCAACAGCCT